ATCCTCCACAGCTGTTAATAGGTACTGCCACTTGGTGTCTGGGTGGGATGCGAGGGTGGGAAATGAAGCGTGTGGCGCACAAGTGTGTACAATTGGTCTCTCAGTGCGGTTCGGAAATAAACCATCTGCAGAGCAGCTGGCTTGGAGTACGAGGAGGAGGGGGCCGGGAGGGCTCACGGGGCAGGCGCCCGATGGAAAGGTCTGGAGGGCCTGGGGTGAGGGGTGGGCAGGGAGCGCCCTCTTGCAAGACCCGCTCAAGGTAGACCTGAGAAGCAGGCAGTAAGGCAGCCTCAACCTCCTGAAGTACGCGTTGACGGGTCCGAAGGGCAGGACCGGCTCTAGGCACCAGCAAAGCAAGCACGTGTTTGGGGCGGCACATTTCCAGGGGCGGCATTCCGGCCATCCTTTTTTTTCGGGGCAGTTGTGCTCTCAGAGCTGCGCCACTTAGATGGGGCGAGGGCGCCAAGCCACCGGCTGCAGTGGGAAGGGGAAGCCCCAGCCCCGGGATGCTGAGCTGCCAGGGCCCAGCCGCTACCTGGGGAGGAGAAGGCGAGTCCTCCCGGGGAGCCAGGGCTGTGCTGCCTCATCTGCGCACTGGCTACTGCGCTGCCTTGTGCCACCCCTTATATCGGAGCTTCTCTGCGCTGCCGGGCGGGGGAGGGGGTAAAGCCCCTGCAGGCGCTGGGAGAAGGTGACATCACTCCCTCTGCTTCCAGCGCCGCCTGTGAGCCCCAGCCCCACCTGAGTTTGGGGTGGCAAATTTTTTGCATGGGGCGGCAAAAAACCTAGAGCTGGCCCTGCCGAAGGGTGGAGAGCCCCATGCGCCAACCTAGCGCCAGGGGATTCATTCAGTCCCCCCAGTCGTAGTCTAGGAGGTCTCTGATCCTGGTGGCTTCTGCCAGGACCAACCTCTGGTGCACCAAGGGGGAGTCCGCCATGTGCACACGGAACTGAGGATTGTGCAGCAAGGGCTACGTGAAGATATCTACCCCCTCGGTGGCCGCCACGGACCTGGTCGCTGAAACCCTGTACGGTACTGATCCAAATCAATGAAGTGGTGTACGGGATATAGTTGGGTCCCAGGACTAAACCCACAGTTATCCATAAGAGCCATGTAAGATGGTATCAGGGGGACAGAATTTCAGCTTGGCTGCCCCCTGAATCTGAGAATGTAGCTGTGGAAGTTGAAGCTGGAAGAGTTATTATAGAGGTGAATCCCCCATTCAAACAAAGTGGGCAGGGTTTGCCTCAACCAGCAAATTCCACAGAAACAACAGGCGTTTCTCAGGGCAGGGGCTGATTGAAAAGAAACCCAGGGAGAGAAAAGCCCCGAAGAGATTTGGGTGGGAATAAAATTATTTTATATTGATGATGTAAAACTATCCAGCTGAAAAGATGCTGTACATATGTAAATAGCTAACCATTTATCATTTGTTGAATTATTTCTTTTCTCTCTTTTGTTTTGGCATGGGTTGTTAGGTGTCTTCATTTTAGATCTCATCAGGACAATGAGTGAAGCTGAGGTGGCGGGGAAGGGTGTTGTTAGAGCTGGGTGAAATTTAGTTATGGGTTGAATTAAAACCCCATTGAAACTGATAGGTGTGAAGTCACCCTTCAGTTAACATAGCTGTAAGCATAAGCCCTCAACTAAAATAGAGTTGTGTGTGTGTACGTGTAAGAGAGAGCGAGACCGAAACAGAGACAGAACACACCCACTCAGGGGCATTTGGCTGATTATTGTTTTGGGTAGACGTGTGTGGGAAGAGAGATCACACCGGAACTGAGAACAGACAAGGAGAGAGAAAAAGGGAAAGGCAATAAAGCCAAGCAGGATATTGTAAGCACAGTGTGATCCTCGACAAAGCTAGAGAAAATTTTTGGGGTTGGGGTTGGCTAACGAGGCTTGGGACTGTAAGCTAAGAAGCTGCTCTTTTTGTTCTTGGTTCCTTCTGCGTTCATAGACACAGGACTTTGTACATTCCTTGTAAATAAACAAGACTGCATCAAAGAAAATACCAGAGTTCATCAATTTCTGCTTCCAACTGGAACACCCCAGGGCCCCAAACTTTGGCCAGCCACTCATGTTGAAAAGCGGCAACACTCAATTGTGTTCTGGTTTGCAACAAAGAGAATTTCTCAACCAACCATTCATGTTTTATGCTCTCTCTAGGCATTAAAATCTTACAGAGCTTTATAAGTATCTGTCACTTTTCTGCATTGTCTGCCATCTCTTCCTGAATTCTGAGCATCTGACCATCCAATCCTGAAGGCTTCTCTGAATTGCTTTAATTGCAGGTGTGTGATGCAGTAAGGTTTGGCTTTATAACACAAATTTCCCCTTGAAAAAAATCTCTCTGTTCCTGCCACATTCTCCGCATTCTCTTTGCAAACACTAATGTAATAGGAAGTTGTGTTTCCCTTCAGTATCTAACTAATCTATCACCAGCCATATCTCCTCAAAGGAGCCTGTTGCCTACCTGGTTTACGCTGAATAGAGTGGGTTTTTTTTCCCATTTTCCTTCATTCTCCTTCCATTATCCTAATTTAATTTTCTGCCTTTGTTTTTTGACCATTTCCATTGTCTTTTATATTATTCAGGTTTGTCCATAACCAGCTTATAAGCAGCAGCTGCAGTATATGGATATTGGCTATATGAACAACTAATATGAGAAAGGGTTTACAGGATTGAAATCCTAGGTTTCATAAAATTTCTGGTCTGATCAAGATTACTTGATTCAAACAGGCACAGTTCTTTTAACTGTCCATCCTACCTTCTGAAACTTGGCAGCCTTTTTTGATAAGGAAACAAGACTACACTAAATGACTTTGGGGACCCCATTTTGTTCATTCTAGCGCTTTTCTTCCCTCCTATAGAAAGCAAGTATTTACATGATGTCATTTAAGGCAGATGTATTATTGCCCTCTACTTGGTTGTCTTTTGATACTATTTAAAAGGAGTCACTTAAAACGGTAGTGATTTATTTAAACTTAGAGTGGGATGATCCTCTTATTGTGGCACTTGCCATTTACATTAAGTACAATAAATGTTTGCTCCCAAACAGCTTGTTTTTCCTATTTTAGTTTAAACAAGTAATACAATCAGTTGACGCTATCCTAATCATTCCCCTCATTTATTCGCAGGTGGTGAAATGAAGTGTCCAAGTTTCATGTCCTTGGAGCCACCTTTCGAAGGGCTTCAAGGAACAGGTCCTTCAGGACATGAGGAAAGACCTCAAGGAATGAAAGACTTACAATTCATCCTGTGACTTAAACAAAACCAATCAGATAAATTGCTAATTTAAAAATAATGTATTTAGCTTCAAAGATATGTGAGAAGATGTATGTTCTGAGCTAAGATTCATTAGGACATTCCAAGTATAATTGTCTTTGCTTGAGAAAAAGAAAGAAAAACAACACTATGCTAATCTGGACACCAATTCTTTGGTGGGGTCAACTTTGCTTCAGTTGAAGTCAACGGGAGCTGGATTGGGCCTTTCAAAGGGTTTATTTTCACTACCGGGGTAAGTTGATCTAAGTTAAACTACTCCAGCTATGTGAATAACGTAGCAGGAATCGACGTAGCTTAGGTCGACTTACTCTGGTGTCTTCACGGTGCTGAGTTGATGGGAGATGCTCGCCGGTCGACTTCCCTTACTCTTCTCGGAGAGCTGGAGTACCAGGGTTGACCGGTGAGCGCTCTGCCATCGATTTAGTGGATCTTCACTAGCCCCACTAAATCGATTCCTGCTGCATCGATTGCGGCAATGTCGATCTCCCCATAGTGGAGACCAGCCCAAAGTGTCCTTCTACTCTACTCTGAAAAGTGGTTACATTCAGTAACCACTTTCTTGCATGATGTAATCAGAATCATGTCTGCTAACTCCTGTCACTATGTTTTTACTCATGTTAGCCCTGAAAAACGAACACAACTAGGACAAAGAGAAAGGAGTGGGTTTTTGTTTGTTTGTTTCTTTTACACAAAGTGCCAGTTACACCTGTGCAAATCCACTGAAAGCACTGGGGTCACAGAGAATAATTTGAAGATAGTGGGATTGCAGTGGGCTAGATTTGGGCCTCAGAACTTCTGTTTCCAGTGATGTGTAAGAAGGAAAGAACCCACCTTGACTCTTAGATTCCAGACTAAGTTTACAGAGCTAGTAGTTACTGTTTTTCTTGTTACCTGAGCATATTTCACATGTATTGACATACAATAAATATACAACCCCATGACACCATTTCTACTGTCACCTTTCAAAGTAGGACTGCACTTCAAGTTTTCCTTAGGACTAAAGGGTCAATTTTCATCTCTGGGTGAACTACAATGAAGGGAGAAAGCCTAAAGAGATGAAAGTCCAATGGTAGCTTTAAGTTATAAATTCCCTTTGAATTATGTAACTGCTTCCCAGCTTTATTTTCCTGAAAACGACAGGGAAAAACAAACAGTCTAATTAAACTTCAGTAAAAGCATCCTTCATTCTTCTTCAGCCTTGTCCACATTCACCTGTATTCTTTGGCTGCTTTGCACTGCTTTGGAACGAAGCAATACAGCTAGTTGTTCCAGAGTATATGGCCCTTTGGTTTTTGTGCCTTTCATAAGAATCTGGCACAAAATTGCAAATTCCATCAAATCCTGGGCTCGTCTAGTAGTGCCCATCCTAAAATACCAACAATAGTCAGCATTCTAAGGGTATGTCTTCACTATCAATGTTAACGTGGCTGTGTAGTCACGGTACCAGCGCTGGGAGAGAACTCTCCCAGTGCTGTAAAAAAACCACCCCCATGAGGGGAGTAGCTCCCAGCGCTGGTGCACTGTCTACACTGCCTCTTTACAATGCTGAAACTTGCATCGCTCAGGGGGGTGTTTTTTCACACCCCTGAGCGAGAAAGTTTCAGTGCTGTAAAGTGGCAGTGTAGACAAGGCCTAAGAAATGTGCAAGTTGTCTGTGTAGGAAACTATAGCTGAGGTATACCACTAATGTCTATGCATGAATGATACTCACTGGAGGGCCTGGCTCACCAGAAGGTCCATCTTTCCCATCTTTCCCTGGTGATCCAGGGGGTCCTGAATTTGAATCAGGTTTTCCTGGTGCTCCGGGTAATCCTGGAGGGCCTGGTGGCCCAGGGAGACCCTTGAGAAATCAGAAATACTGTTAGAAAACATTGTCGTTTGTTTTCATCCCCCCACCCTGGCCAGGTCCATGCAGCATTCTTAAAGAGAACCAGCATTCTTAAATAGAATTCATAAAACTCTATACCACTGAACTTGGGCAAACACTTCCCTTTCTTTTCATTAAGGGTCAATCCTGCTCCCATTGGTCCCCCTCTCTCCCTGAGCAGGGTCACAGAAGGTCACTCTTCCCTTGCTCTGGGAGGTATGCCTCCAACATCACCTTTAATCTGCAACAATGGAAGATAGTTAAAAATGAAAACCTGCTGTGTTTACTTTGTGTAAGATACTCAGGGATACTCCAGTGATCAACATGGTCTTCATATCTAAGCAATTAGGTTAGATAAAAGCCAAGGGGACTTCTGCTATTAATTTCAGAGGGAGCAGGATTATTACTACTAGTTGTTTACCATAGCACCAAGAAGCCCTAGTCATGGACATGTTAAATCCATTGTGCTAGGCGCTGTACAAACACAACAAACATGTGATTCCTGCCCCAAAGACCTGGCCCTGATAGCGCAATGACATTAAACTGCATAAAATGAATGATCCATGGAAGGAACCAAGTTGTATTCATATTTAAAAAATATACATTTGAAAATTTCTCTTTCTTAAATAAAAGTTAATCTTTAACGCTTTACCTTTTATTACTGATCCTGTATATTAATGGAGAAAGGTAATGGAGAATTTTGAAAATTACAGGCTTGACCCTGCAAGGTGCTGAGCACTTTGGCCTCGATCCAGAAAAACACAATCACATGCTTAACTTTATGCACATGAAGAGTCCCACTGAAGGGACACTTGATTGAGGATAAGTTACTTAGCACCTCACAACACTCAGTCCTTGGAGAGCAATTCTGAACTGGACTGAGAGATGGATAGGATGTCAGTGAAGATGCTGCAGGACAGGGGCTATACTATATGACCAGGCTTCCTGGAAATGGCATTCTGGACTTCTTGAAGTTTAGAAAAGAGAGATTTGGGAAGATTATAAAACGGAAAATTTCAATACAGATGGCAGGCCAATCCCAAAGGTGTGTGGGAGTTTCTCTCTCTGGATGTCTACAATGATCAATACAATAGGGGGGGACGACGAAGGATAGCTCAGTGGTTTGAGCATTGGCCTGCTAAACCCAGGGTTGTGAGTTCAATCCTTGAGGGGGCCGTTTAGGGAACTACAAATCTGTCTGGGGATTGGTCCTGCTTCAAGCAGGGGGTTGGACTAGATGACCTCCTGAGGTCTCTTCCAACCCTGATATTCTATGAATACCTTGGTATTAGGTTTGTTCACATTTGACTACCAGCTCTTTCTTTGTAAGACTTCCCCCTATTTACTGTGTTTTTGGCTGATTCTCTGGGCATTAAGCCCAGTTATGTGCAATATTACATACCAAGTAATGCTTGGAGATGGAAGTTGCAAAGTGAAAGTTTGAGTTAAAGATGACGATGATTCATCCCTAGGAAGGCATCCCATTGGGCTATGTGCTATGTAAACACATAGTAAAACAGTCTCTGCCCCGAGGAGAAGTTTATAATCTAAATAAACAATCAAGACAAGGTGGGAGAGATACAAAGGGACTGAGAGGTGAAGGGACAGCAGGTCAGAGGGGGAACCAGGAATACAATGGAAGTCTCCTGATTCTTAATTGAGCGCCTTGTCCGCTAGACCACACTACATCTTAAGAAATTCACACACACACCCCTGCAAAGTACCAGCACAAGGCTAAAACCCCCTTAAGTCACACATAAATCCCTAAAACAGGGCTTAATTAAGACTCAGGTAGTACACAGGGTGAATTCCATCTAACGGCAGTAGTGTCAGAAACATAGGTCCAAAGGAACATTTTAACTATAAATAGGGCATCAGCCTTTGATTAATTCAATACTGGGAAAGTATGATTCATAGATTTTAAGCCATAAGAACATAAGAACGGCCATACTGGGTCAGACCCAAAGGTCCATCTAGCCCAGTATCCTGTCTTCCAACAGTGGCCAATGCCAAGTGCCCCAGAGGGAATGAACAGAACAGGTAATCACCAAGTGATCCAAAGTCCAGAAGGGACCATTATGATAATATAGTCTGGCTTCCTGCATAGCACAGTACCAATAATCTGTATATCAAGCCCATAATTTTTGTTTGAGCTACAGCATATCTTTTTAGAAAGATCTCCAGTTTTGATTTAATAAAAGTACAGCACTAATCCTGGCCTTTGCAAGGGTTTGGATACAGGCAGAAGACAGAGAGGACACTCAAGGCTAACGGATGGAATTAGTGTGAATTAACAGCTCCATATAGCTGTACACCATATTAATGGAATAGGTGCCCAAAGCTGAAGCAAGCAATGAACAATACCATCCTCTCATCTTCACTGGCTTCTAATCATCTCAGAATCAGATTTTAAAAAGGACTTTCTCTAAAACAAACAAACAAAAACCTCTCCATGATTTCTTCACCCTATTTCTCCCATTTCATACTCCCAGCTTTTTCTCCCACTCCACCACCAATGACACTCCCGCAATCAGAGCCTCCTCTGTCCCTTCCCCAAATGCTCCACAATTGTGGGAGAGTGCTAGCGGCAGCTGAATTTTTACTTGTGCTGCCCCATTTTCCTGCACTTCTCTTTTGCCTCTAACCAAGCTTCCAATTCACTTTTTCTTTGAAAATCTGACAGCAAAGCTTCCTCTACTCTTTGGATCAAATAAACTCTCCTTGCAAAGCTTTTTATGATGTTTTGTATCAAGGATGCTATATAAATAAAAACCATGTTTTGCACTGTGTAACCATATGATCATTGATTCATAATTATTCAAATGTTATAATAATTTAAAATACAGATAAAAGATAAAGCTGTTTACTGCACAAAATTAGCAACAAACATTAGTACATACTTACTCTTAAAACCTCATTGTCTCTGTCAAGGTCACCAGACCCAGATCCTTCAGGTTCCAATCTACTCTGAAGTCAAGAGAATTCATTTTAAAATGTTGTTTCTAATGAAGAGATGGAAGACTGATATATAACAATACCATTTGTGCTTCATTGTTAATCTCATTATGGCTGGCATCTCAGTAGCAGAAAGCTGCCTATGAAATAAAATATATTCTTAAACTCTCATTGATATTTTGTATATCTAAATGCACCCACAGTATTTTAATCAGATGCTTTGGAGGAGTTTCATACCAGTTAAATGTATTAGTTATTCCGTTCTGTATTCACCTACAAATACCGTTCTATTCCACTGACAAGGATACCCAGAAGTTGCACCCTTATGTAAGATCATTGGAGATAAGATGGAATAAATATTTACATTTAGTTTTAAATTTCTAAATATACCTGTCACACTTGGGTATCCCCCAAAATACATCTATAGTGAGTAGCTACTAACTTCCTGCAAAGGGCCTGTGATTCATAAGGCATAGGATGGAGATTCTACTGTGGGGATCTACAGATGCATTCTTGTAAAGAGAAATTAAAAACATTAAATTATTTCCATTGCTATTCATTAAAACAATCCATTTGGAAACTGAGTCATGCTATGATTGGTGAAAAGCTGCTTATTTCCAATTTGTGCATTTTTGGTGGTAAATACAGGAGTCCAAACTCTTTCAGCTTTCCTCCAGGCCACTGACGTTGAAAACTCTACTGAAGATTATTCTCAGATTTCCATACTCCTATATTTTTAAAGATCAAAACTTTCTGAAAGAATCTTATTTTTTTCCCCAAGAGAAATTTTCCATGCGTGGTCTCATGAAGATGAAGTTTTAGAGTGGCTCAAAAGAAATCTAGTCATCCATTTATTGAATTATCGGAGAGTGTTTGATGCATAAGAAACCTGAAAAAGCTGAAGCTTTCTTGCTACTTGTACAAACATTAAACATGAATAGGAGTTATTAGCAATTGAAATATCAGTTTCACACATGTAAATAATTTCCACTACATTTAACATTATGGCACTTAAGGGACTATGGAATAATGTCTATTCATCCTACTGAAGTTAGTTACATAGGTGTTTTTTCACTGCTCGTTCACTCTGGAGTTCTATAGCTGTGTCAGTTTTTGACTATGGCTATGTCTACACTACAGCTTATGCTGGCATAACTTATGTCACTCAGGGGGGTGGTTTATTTACACCCCTAAGCGACATAAGTTACACAGACATAAGCGCCAGTGTGCACAGCGCTATGTCAGCGGGAGAGCTTCTCCCACCGACATAGCTTCTGCCGCTTGCAGAGGTGGTTTTATTATACTGACGGGAAAGCTCTCTCCCATCAGCAGAGAGTGACTTCACCAGTCATGCTGCAGCTGCGCCGCTGAGCGCTGCATGTGTAGACAAACCCTACGTGTAATGGAGCTGCAAAGCAGGGGAATACAAATCTTATCAGCTCCCTCCCCACTGTACTTCTCCTTCCCCTGGCCAGGTAAGAGGAAAGGTAGTGGCTAGACATTGTTTGGAATTGGAAGCAGTAGCTGGCCACATGGCTAGTTAGGAGTTGCAAAGAAACTGGATGTAGAGGCCACATGGCTAGTCAGGACTTCCAGAGAGACTGAACGCAGAGAGAATTGCCCAGAAACCATATGCAGAGCAGTGTGTGGAACAGGCTGGGAGTCAAGGGTGCTAGAACCTTTGTAGAAGTAGGGGGGTCAAGACCAAAGTGCCCCCTTCCTCTGCAGCTGGCTGCTCTGGTGGTGAGTCAGCTGCCCACTCTTCTGGTGCCACAGCAGCCCCGGTAGGCAAAAGGTGTAACTGCAGCATCTCCCTGGCAGAATCTATTATTCTGCCGAGGAAAAAAAAAAATCTACAGGGGACATGAATTCTGCCCTTGTTTCTTTTGTTAAAAGCAGGGAGGTGTGGCCCTCTGGCCCCCCCAGTTCTGGTGTTGTGAGTGCCAGACATCACAACTAGGTGCAGGTCTATGTGGGTCTTACTGAAGCTGCAGCAGTGGCTGGGCATGGAACCAGTGCAGAGGGACCCCAATAAGAGTCATTAACTGAGCCTGGACTGGAAACCTGCAAGCTCCTATTTGTTTGAATAGAAACTGGACTGGAGAGGACACCCAAGCACTAGGCCTGAAGAGCCCTGGTTGTTGATTGGACTGCCTCGGGGTCCCTAACAAGAACAATTATTGTTCACCTTGAACTGTAACTATTTAAGCCTCTGTACCTAGGATATTTGCAACATTTCCCTTTCCTGCCAGCCCTAGTAAAATACCCTTTCACTTAACCATGTGTCTGAGTAGTCACTGGGACCCACCAGGCCTAGCACCTACTAGGCTGGCTGCTGAAACACCTACAGTGATTGCCTCTAAGTCACGATCCACCCAGCTTGCTACCGGCACCTTAGGAGCTTGGTGTAATTCAGCACCGAGCAGCCTCAATATTTACAAGTGAAACTATGGAAGTGCACAATGAAGTTAGTAGAGAGCTAAGCTTTAATCATTTATTAAAATAAATTACACATTAATTTTTATATGCTATGTTGCCGTAGCTGAGTTGGTCCAAGGATCTTAGAGAGACAAGGTGGGTGAGGTTATATCTTTTATTGGAACAACTTCTGTTGGTGAGAGAGAAGCTTTCAAGCTTACACAGAGCTCTTCTTCAGGTCTGGGAAACGTACTGGGAGTATCACACCTAAATACATGGTGGAACAGATTGTTTAGAATAAGTAGTTAACACGTATTTCAAGAGACCATTCAAGGTGAAGTTGCCAGTTAACAATGCTCCAGTCATAGGGAGAAAAAGAAGGAGGAAATTGGGGGATGGGGTTAGTGGGTTATAGATTGTTGTAATAAGCTATAAATCCAGTGTCGCTATTCAGATCATGATTTTTAATGTCTAGCAAAGTTATGAATTTAAGCTCCTTATCTTGTCTTTTGAACATGTTATGCAGGTAGGATGACCAGATAGCAAGTGTGAAAAATCAGGACGGGGGTGGGAGGTAACAGGCGCTTATATAAGACAAAACCCCGAATATTGGGACTGTCCCTATAAAATCAGGACATCTGGTCACCTTATATGCAGGTTTCCTTTGAGGATGAGAATTGAGAGGTCAGATATAAAGTGGTCGCTTTGTGAAGCATTCACCCACAAGTGATATGATATTTTTGTCTTATTTTTTTGTTCAAGGTCATTCAAGAGGCATAGTGATTGGTTTCACCCACATAGTTGTTATCGGGGCATTTAATGCACTAGATGAGGTACACCACCTGTTGTGCTAGGCATATACAGGACTCATGGGTCTTGAAAGGTGTGTTGTGGGGGCTATTGATCATCGTAGCAATACAGATATATCTGCAGGTTTTGCATCTGTTGTTCTGGCACCACTTTGAGTTTGTGTGTCCTGGTCTGTGGGAAGCTTGCTTCTGATGATGAGCATGGAGAGGTTGGATGGTTGTTTGAAGGCCAGAAGAGGGGGTTCGTGGCTGTTCCTTTGGTTTGGACAAAGCGTTTGCTGTTGAATGTAAAACTGTTTGGGGTGTGGATGAAATGGAGGAGTTTGGTGACATGTCTGGGGTGGATATCTGAGGGTTGTCCATTGTTTTGTAGACATTTGAGGCAGGCAGCAATGCGGGAAGTGCCATCCATGGTGGCATAGGTGGTGTTCTGAGGGAGGTTGTTAAAGTTACAGTTTCTGGAGGAAGTTGGTTGTGTCCTGGAGGAAGGTGGCGCTTTGTGTGGTGAGAGGTTAAAGGATGGCTTCTAAGAGTCCTGATATTTTTTCAGGAAGAGTGCCGTGGCCAGATACGATGGGTCTCTGACTGGGTTCCCTTGTTTATGTATCTTGGGAAGCATACAGAAGGTCCCTGGAGTGGGTTTTGGGGGGATGATTTTGTAGAGTTTCTTTTGGAGCTGTTTGGGGAAGGACTTAATGATATCCTTGAATTACTGCGTAAATTGTTGTATGGGATCTTATTTGAGTTCTTTGCAGTAGGTGGTGTCGGAGAGTTGTTGGTTGGCCTTGTTAATGTACCCATCACAGTTGAGGACTATGAAGGCACCACCTTTGTCTGCTGATTTGATCTGGCGGTTGGATTTCAGGGACTATATAGCTGCCCTCTCAGCAGTGGAGAGAATATTAAGTTTGTTAAGGATTTCACAGTCAATTTTTTCCCCTGAAGAAATTAACATAATGATCAAGAGTGTGGTCTCAACCGCTGTGGGTTGTCCAGTCAGATTATTCTTTGTTCTTATGACTGTCAGTGGGAACATGGTAATTGTGGGTGGTATCGTCATTGTTGTAAAAGAATTCTTTTGGCGGAGCTGGTGGAATTCTTCTGGTTTTCCACCTGTTAGGATGGTATCAGGTTGTACATGGCAGAGGGGCATTGCTGACACATGATGGCATATATCACATTAGTAGATGAGCAGGTGAATGAGTCCCTGATGGTGTGGCTCATGTGGTTGGGTGGTGTGGCTCACATGGTGAATGAGTCCTCTGATGGTGTCGCTAGAGTAGATATGGGACACAGTACGCAACGAGGTTTGTTACAGGGATTGGTTCCTGGGTTAGTGTTTCTGTGGTGTGGTGTGTAGTTGCTGGTAAGTATTTGCTTCAGGTTGGGGGGCTGTCTGTAAGTGAGGACTGGCCTGCCTCCCAAGGTCTGTGAGAGTGAGGGATCGTTTTCCAAGATAGTACTCTGCCATGTACATGATAGTATTCTGCCATGTACATTGGCCAAACCAGACAGTCTACGTAAAAGAATAAATGGACACAAATCAGACATCAGGAATGGTAACATACAAAAGCCATTAGGAGAACACTTCAATCTCCCTGGACATTCTATAACAGATTTAAAAGTAGCCATACTTGAACAAAAAAACTTCAAAAACAGACTTCAAAGAGAAACTGCAGAACTAAAATTCATTTGCAATTTTAACAACATTAATTTCGGCTTGAACAGGGACTGGGAGTGGCTGGCTCATTACAAAAGCAACTTTCCCTCTCTTCGTATTGACACCTACTCATCAATTATTGGGAGTGGACCACATCCACCCTGATTGAATTGGCCCTGTCAACACTGGTTCTCCACTTGTAAGGTAACTCTCTTCTCTTCATGTATAATAATGCCTGCATCTGTAATTTTCACTCCATGCATCTGAAGAAGTGGGTATTTTACCCACAAAAGTTTATGCCCAAATAAATCTGTTAGTCTTTAAGGTGCCACCGGACTTCTTACAAAGTGATTACTTTATATCTGACCTATCAGTGCTCATCCTCAAAGGAAACCTGCACAACATGTTCAAAAGACAAGCCTGGGAGCTTAAATTCATAACTTTGCTAGACGCTAAAGATCGTGGATTGGACAGACACACTGGATTTATGCCTTATTACAACAATCCATAACCCACTAACTCTACCCCCCAGCTTTTTTTCTTCTTCCTTTCCCCCTAATGACTGAAGAGGTATTAACTGGCAATTTCATCTCGAAAGGTCCCTTGAAATATGTGTTTACTTATTCTAAACAATCTGTTCCACCTTGTATTTAGCTGTGACACTGAGACATTTCCCAGACCTGAAGAAGAGCTCTGTGAGGCTCAAAAGCTTTATTGGTCCAATAAAAGATATTACCTCACCCACCTTGTGTCTCAGATATAAATGTTGATGTTAATATAATGGCAAACTTACTATTTAAAATGCTCAGAAGTCAGGGGTTCAGATTCTGGATCCACTCCAGCCTCTTTGCACTGCCCCACAGCATAAAATGGCCAGAAAGATATTGTAGCAGGCAATATGAGGATCAAGGGTAATCCTCTTGAGATGAAGAGCCTACATAGCACAGAGAGGGCATCCTGTTTGCTGAGGCCAATCTGGGGGGAAAGGGGTGGCCTGGGGCATCACCATACCCTAGTGATCCCCAGCAGCATTATGAGTTCCTTGGGGTTGTCATCAGTTGGGGTACATCAGAGTAACTCTTGAGCTGCTCTGTCTCATGCCAGAGAAATGAGTTGGTATGCAGTAGGCCCAAGGTCAGGTGAGCACAAAGATGGCTTGGTGTCACTTTTGTGACCACTTCCTGAGTTGCACTGTGTGCTCCTTAGCCACAGCCAGGGTCTGGGCCAGGCAATCCAAAAGTTAAGGGTCTTATAACATATTTTACAAATTATATTGTAAAATACAAAATTTAATACAAAATGGGCCCAGTTTTATCTTAACATACATGATATCTTGTAAACACAGAACTACCATTGACTTCAATGGAAACCACAACTGGATTTATCTCTGGGTGAAACCAGTTACTGCCAGTGCAATCAAAACCTTGGGCCTAATTCTCTCTTTGGCAGCATGTGCATGACTCTGTGTGAGACCAATAGGAGAGGCATGTGTACAGATGAGAGTCCAATCTGGATCACTCTTTTGCACTTCCTCGTTCCTGAGTATTGAAAAAGAGAACTTCACCATCATAAGAACATATGCGTTTCTATTTAACAGCAAGTACAAATGGTTGTCAAAACATCCCTGTGTTAGGGCATGGGAGGAAATGAGTAATTCAAATTTTAAAATGTCTAATACAGGTATCTTTTGAGAACATCTCACTTATATTTTCTTCTAAGTATCATGGCTCACATCTTTAGAAATGCTTTTGCAAAAGAATGTGCAGACATTTGCCCACTTCCAACTTAGACATGCAATGGGTATGTGCTGAGTGGGATACAGGCGTAAGTCAGTTATGTATAAATGTGTATTTGCTTTTTGACCATTTATACACATTGGCTACAAGGTTATTTCCCCAGACTGCACCTCCTTGTTAAGTTTTACCTCACTCTGTGCTAAAGGATAAGACAAGCAGAGCTAAATCTCAGACAGCCTCAGAAACTCACAAGTCCTCTGAATGGAGCGGATGGACCGGGAGGGCCTGGAAGTCCTCGTGGTCCTGGCAGTCCCACACCAGGCTCACCCTGGAAGAAGCACAAATATGAAGCAGTGAATATTTCAGACCACATTTTAGCATGTTTCATGACACTGGGTTAGCTTGATTTGCCATAGCTAGCTTCCTTAGACCTAACTGTATTTTGCAAGTTTATAGAATCAAAAATGAACACAAGACAATTGTTTAAATGCTAGAAAGGGATGTGAGGTTTATTCATTTGTGAAATAAACTCCCTAGAGAAATGGTCATTATGGTAAAGTAAAACTACTAAGACTGAAAAAAGCACTTAGCAATGTACTCTAGGAAATAACCCTGCATTGGCAGACAGAGGATGTCGTGAAAGGTCTTTTCCATCTCTAGCTTCTCAAACAAATTTACAATTGTACTAGCAGTGCCAATTGTGCAACGGGGTTTAATTCTTTATCAGAAGTATATTTTAGCATAAATTTCATTCTTTATGCAAATCATATGCAAAACAGGGAGATACCACCCTTCTCAACATTACTACTCTCCTCCACACACTTCCAAAATTACAGTCTTGTGATTTATCTAATGTACTTTTTCCCTCTGCCCACACAGCTAAAACTCCTGTTCAGGCCCTTACCATTTCCCCTCCTAACTACTATAACCTGCTCCTCTCTGGCCTTGCTAACACCCACCTCACCCTTCCTTGAGGTCCATTCAAAGTACAGCTGCTAAGATCCTCTTCCTGGCCTTTTATGATCATACCAGAACCTCCATCCCTCCACTGGCTCCTGCTTCTTCACAGCTTCTACTACAAATTGAAAGCCTTTCATAATTTATCTTTCCCTGCTTCTCCACTCTGGCCTTGTATTTCACAGAAGTGAGCAGGATTTGGCCCTTGGATTATGAACTCTTTGGGGAGAAGAATGTATCTTTATCAGTGTTTGAAAAACAGCATGTTATAATAACTGAATGTTACACAGTCCAGATTCAAGCAATCAATTTAAATGTTAACAATACTTGAGGTACAGTTTTTTAGGCCAAATATTAGCTCTCCATTTATGTCAGCTGTAGGAGTCTTATACACCCCTTGTTTATGACTGCAGGTAAGACACACTTGCCTTTCCCTGGTGTCTATGTATTACATGGACTAGCGCATTGAAAATGCTGAGGTACATGGAGGAATGTGAAATATTCACTTTGAACCTCAAATTCACTCAAACTGTGATTGGCTTTGAAATTTGTTGCATTCATGAACCCCAGCCTATGGTCCCTAAAAGCTCAAGTGCATGGATTGAGGTTCCCATACGTGTTTGGCCTTGCTATCTACTTGTTATTGCTGACGTGTGTGTATGCGTAAGGGAAGCTGAAATCTGTCTCCCTCTTTCTCAGCTCCTGGGAGGTCCATCTCCAATGTCTAATAATAATAAAATAGGGCCGTCCTTAGGATTTATGGGGCCCTACGAAGTATTATTAAACTGCTGCCCCTATGCCTGACAGCAGCCTGGTCTTGCAGCCCGGGGGGAATGGGGAGGGGACAAGGCAGCAAAGGATACCGAGCCGCCCGGCCTGCCTCACGGCGGTGGAGAGTCCCAATTCCCTGCAGAGAGTCCCGTACCCTTTCCCTCACACAGAATGCGCGGCATCGATGCATTCGGCTCTGTGAATACGCCCCTGCCTAAGGAGACTGCAGCGCGTGCTGGGTGTGCAGGAGCTGACCCGCTCTTACATGCGGTCATGGGCAGTGGGTGAAGCTGCCACTTGGGAAGGCTAGTTCCCCAGCCCACCTTTTCTGCCTGTGGCCCTGCCCATGCTCCACCCCTGCTCTGCCCCAGGCCCCGCCCTCTCCCCACTGTCTCACTCCTCTCTTCCCTTCCCCTCCCTGATCACCCCCTTCCAGCCAAATCCCTGAACCCAAATGAAGCAAATGACATTTGAAAAAAAACACTCTTCTGCAATTTCTTTCTAAAGAAAATGGAGCATGTTTTCCATTGCATGCCAGAAGGTGAAGACTGGACATGCAGAAGGTACCTAATTAAAAGCACTAAACTTGGGAATAAAAAATGTCAGTCATGGGTTTTTTGATCTACCCTGAAGTTTGTCAGAGACTTATTTGCAAAAACTTTGTAGTAAGGGCAAGTCAGCTGTCTTGCTGAATACAACATTAAATATTATGGAATACATGATGCAGCTCTTCTCTGTTTTACATTTTCTTAATCAGTATTTCTAAGCTGATTTTATATTTTAAATGTACTCTTAAGCCTTCATAAAGTAATCATTCCACATTACTACATATTTAATGCACTGAAACAAAGGTATTATTTTAAATTAATCAGTCACAGAGGTTTAGTGTGTTCATAACAATGTTCATTGCTTTTAGAAAAAGGGAACATTAATTTATTTTGTGTGATGATCTCCATAACAATAGACATGTTTATGAAATTTCACCAACTTTAAAACATATGTTTCCAAAGATTTTAGGCATAACAAAGGATTTTGTATCTTACTAAGGTACTGGTTTTGCTAGAGGGTTCTCTTAAAACTAGTTAATCAAATAGTCAGAAGTAAAGAAAGGGAAACTCGTTTGTCCAGCTATCTGGCAGGAAAGGGGTGTTGTCCCTTTAAGGGCTCTCTTCAACAGGGGGGTGAAGGGACAAAAGAATGGACAGAAAGGACAGGAAGACTTTGGAAGCAAGTTTTTTGTACTATAGTAATTAAAATTAAAATGTGTATTTTAGATAAGGGTGGTCTTTTGAAGGATTTATTTAAAAAACTGTGTGTCTGAAGATCCAAGCATTTAAGGCTAAAGATGAATACTCAGATTGTGCATCTAAAAATCTATGCAAGGATTTTTTAGAGATGTGATTTTCTAATCTTCAGCAATACACCAATGAAATATTTTTAAAGCAAATTTTAAACTAAGGTCCTGTAGACTGACACGTTCTGAGTAAATATTACAGTAATGCACAACTGCTTTTGTCAGTAAATTCAGAAACTGACAGTATATACCTGGGGGTTGGCAAATGCCTTTTAAAATGGCTTCATTACCACTTAAATGGTTCTTTAACAGTTTCAATGTTGTGCTAATAGGGCTGGAAGGCTTTTTCACTTTTAAGTGACTAGATCCCCCTGGAGAGGAAGACTCACCAGGCTGCAGCAGCTAGCTGTGGGAGCCTGCAGGAAGGGTCAGAACAGGGATAGGAAGAGGCAGGAGGTTGGACACTAAGACCCAGGGGTGCCCCAAATTTTCGGGGGCCCTATGCAGCTGCATATGCCTAAGGATGGCCCTGAATAAAACCTAGCTCTTATCCAGCCTTTTCATCAGTAGATCTCAAAGTGCTTTACAAAGAAAGTTAGTATCATTATCCCCCCATTTGACAGATTGGAAAATGTAGGCTCAGAGTGGGAAAAGTGACTTTCCAAGGACGACCAGCAGCCAAGCTGGGAATAGATACCCAGGTCGTCTTAGTCCCAAAATCCAGTGCTCTGTCTACTAGGCCACACTGCCTTTTGTGAAATAGTGAGTGCATGCATCCACTTCTCTGAGATTTTTTTGGGGTGGCTATATAATATGGGCCACTGCCCACCCATTCTGACTCTGTGGGGCGGCAGGATGTGATCTGCCTCCATATTCTGCAGCAGAAGTAGGAAAAATGCTCCTACTGTCAGCAATTTTCTTCAAGAAGCTGACGCAGCAGCTGGATGCCCCATAATCCCAGACAGCCAAGCCCTCATGTTCTGTTCTTTTCTTTAATTATTCTGAATTGTCATCTGGAATTGCATCTCCCTCTGCTCCTATTTCTATTGTGAACTTAGCTATGTTTTTATTAATTAGGAGAATCATATGTTAGGAATCAGAGAATTTCAACTGCATCACAGTCACAACAAAGCAAAAAAGTTGGTTGTTTTTGACCAGTCACTAAATGCATTTATTCATTTGTTTCTTTGCACTACACAGTTTTGCTAAGAGATTTCTATAGGAATACTCTTCAAATGTTCTTTCCCATATACCTTTCATTTCTTTTTACCATATTCATATCCATAGTGCCAGTATTTAATTAGTTTTGAGCTATTCTCATTGTTTGCAGCCACACACTCTTACAGCTCCTGTTTATTTGCTCTGATGTTGTATGCTCTTTTTAAACAGAGGTTACAGCATTAGCGCTAGCCAATTTTTGTATTTGGTTTTGTGCAGTTTTTACCCTGTTGCAACAATTAGGGGTGGGCAACTTCCCTCCCCCACAAATTCTCAAATCTGGATCATAGTTATATATAGGAGCCTACTATTTGTAAGCATTTCTGAAGTGCCTCTCACAGCTTTATCTATGCACTGCCCAAAGGTTACAAAACATCAATTGATAACCCACCAGCAGGGCAGTCAGTTCTCGAACCTGCTCTAAGATGCAGCAATTCCTGGCTTCCCATTCTGCAATAATTGCAGCCAGAGACTTGCTGATAGATCCTGTAGCATGTACTCACCCTTAAAAGCATACTCAGAGGCTAAGAGATGCTGACCACCTTCCTAGGCTACAGATAGTCTTAGCAAATTTTGTGTAAACCAGGAAAACAATTTTTAGGTCATTCCTACCCCGTAAACATACCGTGGAAAGGAATCTGTTAATCATATCAATTTGGACAGGGCAGGGTTAGTGAGATGGTTTTCTGGAGCAACTTTTAAACTTAAAACTAACTCGTATATAAAAGGGAGTGGGAACAATCTCCTTCTACTCTTCCAGCCTTTTGCTGCAGGCATGGTGACTAACTGCTTATGCTGGAGGCTGTACAGAGCTGCCAACATTTAAAAAAAAAATATTATTTTTCAAGGAGCAATTCTCCAGAAAAGGGTCTTAGGGCTCCTGGATGCTTTTCAGCATGTTCTGAGTATCTTTAGCACTTGTAAAACAGTGCCTTATGAACATCCGCTAACTAACTAACATCAGCTAACACTTCTGTGAGGTACTGTGTGTAAGTGTTATCCCTATGCTATGGATGGGAAACAAAGGCAGAAAAGTATTTTGACTGAGGCTGTAGAATTAGTCAGGAATAGATGAAGGTGTCCTTTTCTTTCAGACCACTACCACTCCTGTTCTGCTCTTATGGCCAAAAGCCACAAGGGCTATTCAGCAGCAGTCCCAACTAATGCAGTTGCAATGCTGGATTTGTTTGCTTTTAGTTGCGCATTACTCTCACTTCGAGCATACTGTAAACAGGGCCGGCTCTAACTTTTTTGCCGCCCCAGGCAAAAAAGAAGAGCACCGCCCCGCCCTCACACCCCCCCCCCCCCCCGAGCCACGCCACCGAAACCCCCACTCCCCCCCCGAACGCCGCGCCGGGCCACCCAAACCCTGAGCGCCGGGCCGGGCCGCCCAAACTCCCACGCCCCCCCCAGCGCCGAAACACCCCCTGCGCTGCCCGGCAGAAACAAAAACAAAAAAACCCCACAAAAACCCCTCGAGCGCCACCCCGCCGAACAACAACAAAAAAACCCTCGAGTGCCCCACGCCACCCCAACATTTGCTGGCCCTTCTAAGGTGCCGCCCCAAGCACGTGCTTGGTCGGCTGGTGCCTGGAGCCAGCCCTGACTGTAAACAGCCATGTGTGTTGTTTGATCTTAAAACAATCTACTACTGTTTTTGTATCATTCTAACTAAAAACAGGATGACTGGCTTCAGGGTGAGTATCTACATCTGAATATTTGTATTGGGTATCACGGAAAGAACTGAAGATGGAAGGTGTGTGATTAAAGCTAGTTTGCTGGAAACTCATGAATCAGCTTTCCAAGCTGAGAAGGATATATAGACTTAGGGTGACCAGCTGTCCCGATTTTATAGGAACAGTCCTGATTTTTGGGTCATTTTCTTATATAGGCTCCTATTACCCCCCACCCGTCCCGATTTTTAACATTTGCTGTCTGGTCACCCTACAAGACTTGCGATTTTCTGATACAGAATGTAAACGACCGTCATAAACAGGTGAAATTCACCCATCAGCAGAGGGGCTACAGAAGTTCCCCAGTGCAGAAAAACCACAAGAGCTCCTGCAGAGTGGCCATGCAGGGATCTCTGCATGTGGTGCAGCTGGGCCCTGCGCTAGCTCTGCTTCAGCCAATAGGGATGGCCCATTGTGTCCAGAATTACATGAATCCAATAGTCACAAATCACTGCACAGGAGATGGCTCAGGGTCACGGCCACTGTTCCAGCCCAGAAACTGATATGGGGTTGCAGGGGACTGCAGAGTTGTTGTTGGAGGTTGCGAGGGGAATTCTGTTCACCCCTAATTCCATGTACATCCTTGCTCAAAGACCATTTATTTGGGCTTTGTGCAACAGACGGGGGTGAGGAGGGAGCGATGAATCATCACCACCTCGTGGGGCCACTGAGGTCATCCACCTTTGTTCTGGTTCAGTGCTTCTTAGCCTGGTAGGTGCACCATGACTCAGGGGCATGTGCTGAAGGTGCATCAGCTGCAAGGCCCTGTTGGCTCTAGCACCTAGTGGGACCCAAAGAGTATTTCACCCAGAGCCTCCAAATACCACACTTCTGCAGGACACCCAGCTACCAGCTCCTCCCCAGCCATCCTCCCAACAGTCTGGAGACTTGCCCTTTCTGCTGCTAGCCTCTGCCCAGCCAGAGTAGGAGAGCAAGAAGAGCTGCAGATTTGCCATTCAGCAGATTCATCCCATTGCCTTCTGCTGACCTGTGATTGCTCAGCAGCAGATTCAGCACGTGGGAGTGTTAAAGTATTTGTCAGTAATGGCTTTTGCCAACAGAGTTAGATTTAACCGCCAAGTGATAATTTGCCTGTAGGTATTTTGTCAGCTTCCAGCAATAACAGGGGGAAACAAAAGCCTGAAGCAGAAAAGGTCTCTGCTCCAGCACGCGTAGGTGGTCTGGGAGTAGGCTAAGAGATCTGCATTCACACAGATCCAGTGGCTCCTGCATCCCTGACCTGGAGGGCTGCAATTCTAGCTCACAGACTGGAAAAATGGCCACAGGAGTCAGGAGGGAGTACCAGGAGCCCTACACCCTGCTCTGCATTGTCAGAGGTGAATTTCATCTTTCTAAGTGCTCTGGACTCCACTTGAGTTGAGTCTGAATGTATTTCACATCAGGGATTTGGGGGGGAGAGGGGCAAAGGCAGACTTCCTGCCTGCCCTGACTCAGCACTGCACCCTGGAAGCCAGGGCCAGCTCCAGGCACCAGGCAACCAAGCACATGCTTGGGGCGGCACCTGGTAAGGGGCGGCCAATCTTGGGGTGGCGGGGGGGGGGGGGGGGG